AGGCAGATTCAGGGCTTTTATGGTTTGTGAAAACTAGTCCTGGGAATTTCAAGCTGATCTCCTGGCTTTTAAACCAATCTCACAATCTCCAGGCTGATTTGGGCTTTTTATGCCACTTACACATTTTTCATCCTGTGCTGGATTGTTCCAGGTCTCTGTTGTAACTGTTGGCCGCTTTGGATTGGCCACTCCGCAATACCCCCTGCACAGTGCTGCCCGAGCAATCTCTCCACACCCCACTCGGTATCCCCTGGGTGCTGTGGTGAGGTGAGGGAAGGCATGGCAGGGGCGGGGGCTGGAGGGAGGGAGTTGGTGGGTTACTGGAGCAGGTATGATGTGCTATGAGTCCTCAGTCCTATTTGGTGGCCTTGTCCCTTATGTTGTCCGTCACCCACTGGGCGGCTTTGCAGACATTGGCGTAGACCCCAGGCAGTCCCTTCAGGGCACAGTAGGCCGTTCCCCAGGATACCACACCCTGCAGCCTCCCGTTGCAGACCAGTGGGCCTCCGGAATCACCCTGCAAAGACAACACAGAGGTATCAGCAAACACAGTGACACTCCAGTGCGTGTGCACAGAGAGCAGGGCCCATCCCCTCCAGCAGGGGGCAGCAGAGACACACACATACATAGAAGTCCCTTACCCTCCAGCAGGGGGTGACTCAGGTGCATACACACACACAGACACACAACAGGCCCATCTCCTCCAGTAGGGGGCGACAGCCAGCCAGACATAAAACGTGGGGCGGCAGGGACATACAGATAACGAGGGTGTAAAGAGCAGAAATGGGTTTGGGTGAACCCAGTTTGCTCCACCAGTGCTGGGGGTCAGGGCAGGCCAAAGAGGTGGATGAAGCATTTAGGCCTTGCTGCAGTTGGAGGGCAGTCTGGCTGCTCTTCCACGGGGCAAGAGGACAGGCTGACGACTGCCCCTCAGCAGCAGCCTGGAAGGATTTGGAGGTCGCCGGGGATAGGAGAGTACCGAGCTCTGTGAGCTCTGACACCCGGCACCTGCCCCGATCTCCAAGGTTGCCCCTTACCTGGCATGCGTCTCTGCCTCCCTCTTCCACACCAGCGCAGAACATGTTCTCTGTGATCAAGTCCTTGTAACGCTTGTTGCAGCTGTCCTGGCTGACAATGTAGATATCTGCGCACTGTAAGATGTTGGGGAAGGTCTCTGGGCAATGACAGGAAAACACGCTTGTTTGGAGGGTGCAAGAGATGAAAATTTAGTGTAAGGCCCTCAACTGGCATAGATCCATTGAGCCCAATGGAAAGATGGCTGCTTGACCCCAGCTCAGGATCTGACCCCATTGACTCCAGTGGAGCTACAGCCCATTGACCCAGTTGGGATCTGGCCATATTGCTTTTCTAAAACAGGAGATATTTGACTAACAAGAAAGCCAGAAAAAAAACCCCTCATTTCAGGGCAAACAAGTCATTATTTTGGGATCCCAGATGTTGTGATATTTCCATTTTCCTTGTGACTGGAAGCATGTTTGTGACATTTTAAATCCAACGAGTAGTTCGGTAGTTCGAATTAGAAAGCCTAATTCGAACTACCTACTCCGTGCTGCGTGTAGCCGCGGGCACGGAGTCCGAACTACCGGGGATTTAAAAATGGTGGCGCCTGGCAAGATGCAAATGAAGCCTGGGATATTTAAATCCCCGGCTTCATTTGCAACTTTGATTGACTACATTAACGACCCTAGTTCGAACTAGGGTGGTAGTGTAGACATACCCGGGGAGATTCCCAAACCTGAGCCATTTTTTTTAGGTGAAAAATCTGAGGAATTGTCCCACACTGAGGTGTTAATAGAGAAGGTTGTGGAACAAATTGATAAACTAAACAGTAACAAGTCCCTGGGACCAGATGGCATTCATCCAAGAGTTCTAAAAGAACTCAAATGGGAAATTTCTGAACTATTACTTTGGTTTGTAACCTGATACGTTAAATCAGCTTCCATATCTAATGACTGGAAGATAGCTAATGTGACGCCAATATTTAAAAAGGGGTCTAGAGGTGATCCTGGCAAATACAGACCGGTAAGTGTATCGTCAGTACCGGGCAAATTAGTTGAAACCCTAGTAAAGAATAAAATTGTCAGACTCATAGATGAACATAATTTGTTAGGGGGAAGTCAACATGGTTTCTGTAAAGGGAAATCATGTTTTACTAATCTGCTAGAGTTCTTTGAGGGGGTCAACAAACAGGTGGGCAAACGGAATCCAGTGGACATAATATATTTAGATTTCCAGAAAGCCTTTGACAAGGTCCCTCATCAAAGGTTCTTAAGCAAAGTAAGTTGTCATGAGATAAGAGGGAATCCTTTCATGGATTGATAACTGGTTAAAAGACAGGAAACAAAGGGTAGGAATAAATGGTCAGTTTTCCGAATGGAGAGGTAACTAGTGGGTGCCCCCAAGGGTCTGCCCCGGGGCCCATCCTATTCAACTTATTTATAAATGATATAGAGAAAGGAGTAAAGAGTGAAGCAGCAAAATCTGCAGATGATGCAAAATTGCCCAAGATAGTTAAGACCAAAGCAGACTGTGAAGAGCTTCAAAAAGATCTCACCAAACTAAGTAATTGGGCAACAAAACAGCAAATAAAATTAAATGCTGATCAATGTAAAGTGATGCACTTTGGAAAAAATAATCCCAATTATACGTACAATATGATGGGGACTAATTTATCTACAACTACTCAAAGGAGAGATCTTTGAATCCTTGTGGATAGTTCTCTGAAAACATTCACTCAGTGTGCAGTGGCAGTCAAAAAAGTAAATAGAATGTTCGGAATAATTAAAAAGCGGATAAAGAATAAGATTGAAAATATCTTATTGCCCACATCTTGACTACTGAGTACAGATGTGCTTGCCTCATCTCAAAAAAGATATATTGGGATTGGAAAAGGTTCATAAAAGGGCAACAAAAATGATGAGGGGTTTGGAACGGGTCCAATATGAAGAGAGATTAAAACACTGGGACTTTTTAGCTTAGAAAAGAGAAGGCTAAGGGGGGATATAATAGAGGTCTATATAACCGTGACTGATATGGAAAAAATGGAATAAGGATAAATTATGTACTTATTCTCACAATATAAAAACTAGGGGTCACCAAATGAAATTAATAGGCCTCAGGTTTAAAAAAAAAAAACAAAAGAAAGTTTTTCTTCAGTCGCGGCACAGTCAACTTGTGAAACTCCTTGCCAGAGGATGCGGTGAAGGCTAGAACTTTCACAGGGTTCAAAAAAGAACTAGATAGATTCATGGAGGTTAGGTCCATCAATGGCTGTTAGCCAGGATGGGTAGAATGGTGTCCCTCGCTTCTGTTTCTCTGGAGGTGGGTGACAGGGGAGAGATCACATAAGGATAATCTGTGGTGACCCCTCCCTCTGAGGCATCTGGCATTGGCCACTGTCAGCAGACAGTACACTGGGCTAGATGGACCTTTGGTCTGACCCTGTCTGGCCGTTCTTATGTTCTTATATTCTTGTGAGATCTCCCCAAATGTTGGTGTTGTCGAAGCTGCATTTTGCAGCAACAATTGTTTCAAGTTGAAAAATGTCCCGTGTGAGAAGCCAAAGACTGTTGACAACCCGTTAGCAAGGTCTCCCTAACGATCATCAACCCCCTTCCCGACGCTGAGCCCAACCTCAATCCCTCCCTTCCATGCCCCAGCGCCCCTTACGTTCGGGGGTCGTGACTGTGCCCCATCCTGACACGGTGCACTTTGCTCCAGGTGTGGGACACTGGGTCGCCAGGCCGATTGTTTTCACGTTGTTGTTGAGTTCAGCTGGTGCATCCAACTCCAGGAGCATGAAGTCATTGTCCCGGGGGCGGCGATTATAGTCTGGGTGCACGATGACATTTTTAACTCCTCGAATCTGTTCTGTGCCTTCGTTCATCTTCAGGTCATAATCCCCCAGATGCACCCGCACTGACCTACGTGGAGACAGGGCAAAGGAGGAGATCAAGGGGAGGCGAGTCAAAGCTCATGGCAGGGAAGCAAGTATTGTTGAGCCTTGAGTGGATCCCGTGAAGCTCAGTTTGACTCCAGATGCATCTACATTTTTTCTTGGCACACACTTCGCCTTCACAGAACTGAGCAGAGTCATGGGGAAGGGTAGGTATGGGGCAGGCCACAGACACAAAAATACAAGTATTGGTTACTTTACGCAAGTTTCACCCTATTCAGATGCATGTATCCTCCATTTCCATAGTATCGTGCACTGTATAGTTGGTCCAGTTACTTTGCTGGACATAGCCTGCTTTGTTCTCCTGCCACATGTACACAGTATACTTCTTTAGTTGTTTCCCTGTCTCAGTAATCCCCTTCCTCATATTCTTAGCCACTGTTGCTGACACTATTGTTTCTTGCACCCGGTTTTACCCAGCTGAAATAGCCTCAAAATAAGCTAAATAATTTGTGTAGTGCAAATTGCACAGACTATTTTGAGTTAAGGGTGCTGTGTAGCTGCTCCTGAGTTAGGCTTAGCAGCTATTATCATATTTGGAAATAATAACAATAATAATAACAATAATAATAATGATATACAATATACATTTAATTAAATTAATTGTATTTTTAAAAATGTCAGTATCTCATGTCAACATTTTCAAATATGCTACTATTGGCATCTGAGCCTTTTTCTCTGAGTGCCCTATTCGTTTATGTTAAAAAAATTTTTGCAACATCTGAAACCAACTTTTCTGCCCCGACATTCGGATTCACTGAAAAATTTGAAATTATTTGACCCAGATTTTCTCTCTGCTATTCTCAGTGCTCCCGTGCGGAGGTATAACTTGGGATGAGCAACCACAGTGCATCAGACATGGCAAAAGTAAAACAAACCATGTTTACGGGGTCCCATGAGTAGGGGGAGCAGATGGCCAGTGTGAATGCCAGGTTATGTTTTTTCAGGCAGGGGTAGGGTTGTATACAGAAGACAGATCTTCTATAGTGGGACAATCCTGATATTGCTGGGACATCTGGTCACCCCCCCAGCCAAGAGCCAGGGGCAAAGGATTCACGATCAGCGGTGTGTTTATGAAAGATGGGGCCGTATGGAACCGAGCCCCCCACCTCCACTCATGCAGCTTCTTCCGAGAGCCTGGTGTCCTCTCCCATGCAGCTGCTGGTGGCCGGGGGCTCGGGGCTTCCTTCCTCCTCCCCCCACATGCTGCCTTGCTCCCCACCCCCGCAGCTTCTGACAGAACACAGGGCCTTCTTGGAGGTTGGAGTGGAGTGTCAGAGGCTGGGAGCTCCTCTCTGGTCCCAGTCTGGCAGTAAAGAGCCCTCACTAGCTGCTGGCTAAGAGGAGCAGGTGGATGCAGAGTGAGGGGATGAGCAGGGAGAAGTCCCGCTATGGACAGGAGAGAGCAGCCCAGATAGGAACCCACAATAATGCGCAGGTCCATCCTCAGGCAAACCAGCCCACATAGTTGAGTACATCCTGAATTTGTGGGCATTTTGTCATTAACAAAGCAGCCATTTTTACCCCAAATCACGAATTCCATCCCTAGGCTTACATGAACTACCCGGCTGCATAAGGCACCCTAAAATCTGGCCCTTTCACAAGGTGCTGCTCAGATGGGAAATAAAATGCCTTGTGGGGTGTTACCCCAGGAGAAAACACGTTTGAAATAGATCTACGTGGACAATGTCCGTAACCCCAGATACCAAAAGGTACCTACACATACACATAGTTAACAAATCCTGTATTTTCCATTGATGCCTCACATGGCACATTGCATCCAAGCAACAAGGAGTCCTATGGCACCTTAAGGACTCACAAATTTATTTGGGCATGCGTGCCCAAATAAATTTGTGAGTCCTTAAGGTGCCACAGGATTCTTCGTTGTTTTTGCTGAAATAGACTTACATAGCTCCCCCTCTGAAAATTGCATGCAAGACACATCGTGATGCTATAAGCCCACAGCCCAAGCTGAGAGGGGATGTGGGAAGTGCTGGGGAATACTTGATGAAAATTTAAACGCTGGAACAAATGTGTGGTGCTTTTCCAAAATGGAAAGCAATGCAAGTTACTTTTCTAGAGCTCTGTTAACAAGGCAGGTCCTGAAAACAGATCTGTCCTCCTTCCCACCCCTGTTGTCTTAATCTGGTGAGGGTATGTCTAGACAGCAGTGCTATTTTGGGATACCAGAAGTATCCTGAAATAGCAATTCTGTGTCTTTAATGGGCCCGTTATTTCTAAATATATTTCAAAATAACGGGCGTGCTAGTCCGATGTCCTGGTAACACTTGTTCCACAACGATTAAGGGACTTGTTGGAATAGTGCCTTATTTTGAAATCTGGCACTCCTTGAAAACCAGGGGAAGCTCCAAGGACTAACACTGGTAAGTGCAGGGGGCGAGTTTCCTTCTGACCACACCACTGGGGAGAGCCATACGGGCCTGCCGCCTCTGATCTGGGCAGCCACATTTGAAGCAGGGCGCTGAAACCCCCCTGAGGGCGCATAGAAGAGCCACAAAATGGTGTGGGGCCTGGAAAAATGGGAGGATGAGGCTGGGATTTGGGAGGGTGCAGAGGGAGATGTGGGCACAGAAGGGGGGCCCCAAAGGAGAAGATAAGAACTGGGCACATGGCCTCTTCCTTTCTCCCCCCCAACCTCCGTGCCAACTTACTTGGCGTCTCTTCTGCAGTGCGCGGCAGTGAGCACCCACTTCCTGTCTACCAGGCTCCCGCTGCAGTACATGCGGTTGTCCATCATGAGAGCTGCTTGGAAGGGCCGGGAGCCGAGGTCACAGTTCTTTCCCCCATAGATCCGGTTTTCCTCTGCCTCTGAGGCTGCTGTGGAGAGAGACTCACGTCAGCCAGAAGCCAGGCAGGGGCTGGGGTGAGCATCAGCCATGGCCGTGTGGCTTGACTGGTGGCAGGAGGGCTGTGAGCTACTGCTCGTGCGCAGCTGTGCAGAGCATGAGGTGACCTGAGGCTGCCCCAGGTGCGATGTCTCCAGCAGGGACAGGGACAGGCTCATAGGCCACAAAGGGCGGGTCCAACACCCCCCATTTCTGCGTGGCCTGCCATGGGGGAGGGAGAGCGGCTCTGTCCTTCTCCCGATGTGCCTGCCCCTGGCACACTCGGCCCCTGTCGTTGGCCACTGGGCCGGGTGTGTGTGTGGAGAGGAGCAGCCGCTCCTCGCTCCCTGAGAGAAAACCCAGCTGTGCAGGCGATGGCTTCCACTCTCCACCCAGGCCTGGCTGCCAGGGAAAGGACTCAAGCTGGCTCCCCCACTGCCCCTGGCATATTTTCGGCTCACGTGGCCTCTGTCCCCAGCAGCTGGGCCCAGTAGGGAGAGGAAGCTGCTGCGTTTTCAGCAAGGCTCTCTCAGGGAGACACCTTGCTGCCTTACGCTGTGTGGGAAGGGCTGGGGCCGTCCATAGGATTTATGAGGCCCTGCGCAGGACTGTGAAACTGGGGCACCCAGGGCCGGTCGCCAGAAATGTTGCTGCCCTATGGAGCTCCCCATGGAGGGGCAGAGGTGGTTTGGTCTTCTGCAGTGAGGAGGTCGGGTTTGCTTCTGAAGGCTGTGGAAAAGGCACGATTGCTCCTCTGACACAAGATGCAATGGATTTGTTAACTCCCTCACAGCCTTGTCTTTCTCCTCCAGAGCTTGTGGGGCTTTTCTGGGTTTGTTTAGCATGGAAAAGAGAGATCGAGATTGCAGCTTTCAAGGACCTAAAAGGGCGTTACAAAAAGGAGAGGGGTTACACTGCTCAGAGAGCAGCTTACTAGCTCTTACTTGGACTAACTCTCCTCCACTTTCCTGAATGTGGATTCCAGCAACATTTTTTAGAACCAAACTGCAGGCAGCTCTTACAGGGTGTACTGGTGTGAAGTAGAATTCATTTTCCCTGTTCCTGATCAAACACCTCGCTTACAAAACCCCACCGGTTACAATGCTCTGAGCAGGATGTGGCCTGTTGGTGCCTGGTGTTACATCCAAATTATTTTACTATAAACCTATTATAATACAACAAGTAATCAAACCCACATGGCAATAAGAAATCGCTAGGGCTCCGTCCCCACTGTGGAGCTATTTTGGGATACCTCCGGTACTGGTTAGCAGTAAAAATCACCGCGCCAAAGGGGGCTGAGTAAAGTGGGAGGGGAAAAAAAGGCCTGTTGGCGCCATATGCTACAGAAAATGGGAAGCCTGGTCAACTGGAGCTGGAAGGAGCCCAGCCAGTGGGATTCACAATCTGACATAATGATCCTATGAATGCTGAGAAAATAATGTTAGTTTGGATTCAGACTGAATCTGACACATACAAAGCCTTTCTTAAATCCATGAACCTCTTAAAAGTATTGTACCATTGTGTAGTACAGTTACATTCCATTCCCCAGGAGAATCTATGATTTAAGATTATTTTAATGTCTGTATATATGCAACACAAATATGACATGCTAAACAGGATAAGCTCCTAAACAGAACTGCCTTTTCCTTTTTCCATTTAGTAATCCTGTATCTTGAGAAACCACTAGATATTCCAATGTATGCATGTCAGGTTTTATGATTTTAGTTAAGGAAAAACCTAAAAAAAATATTTTGGATTATAAGACTTAGCCAGCATTGCCTAGGTCCTTCAGGGCAGGGTGCACGTTGTGTGGGGGTGAAGGAGTCAGGGCAGGGCCTTGGAGATGGGCTATAGGACAGGAGATTAGGAAAATGGGGGCGTGAGAATGAGAGTTGGGGTATGTCTACACTACCCCGCTAGTTCGAACTAGCGGGGTAGTGTAGACATACCCGTAGAGAAAGGGACCAGGAATATTCCATCAGTCCCAAGTGTTCAGTCGTGGTTGCTAAAATTGCCCAGTCTGATATGTCTGATTTAAAAGAGATGCAGACATTGGATCAGGGTGTGGTGAGGGTGAGCCAAGAACTTCCCAGGACAGCAGAAGAAGGAGCAAAAACATTAGCTCCCTGTGACGGGGCAGCGCTGCTCTGCACTATAGATCCCCCGGTCACCGCATGGTTGGCAGTGCGAGGGGTGGGATACCAGTGATGCACCGGCTGTTCGGCTGCCACCGAGCAGGCACGCCGCAGCAAGGCACCCCAAGATTTCAGCGGTGTGGGAGGTGGAGGAGGAAATGGGGAGGAGCCGTGAGCTGACACCGCTGACGTCAGCATGCTAAAGGGAAGGGCGGAGCACGCAATGGGAGGGGGGCGGAGGAGGGAGATGCGTCGGCAGGGATGCCAAGGGCCGGTGGGAGGATTTAAACGCTGGGGCGAGCACGCACAAGAGGAGGCAGGGAGAAGAGTCAAGGGGAGGACGGTAACTAACGCCGAGAAGGGGGGAGAGAGAAAGGACCCACGCGCAAGGGCGGCCCATGGATGCAGGCAACCTTGGTAGTCACCTAGGGCGCCGCGTTCAATAGGGCGCCCAATGATGCCATTACACCATTGAGGGCTATGGAGACGGGGGTGCCGATCGCGCATTCCGCCTAGGGCCAGCTGCTGACAGCTCACCTTGAGCCACTCCTGCCCACGCGGGGTGCTACTGGCGTCCTCCGGTGGTGGGGTGGAACTGGGGACACTACGCCTGCAAGTAGGTGGAAGGGGGGAGAGGAAATATCCCAGGGCAGGGCGACAGACATAAACCCGTGGGCTGGCATGTTGCGGAGGAAAGCCCTGCCAGTCAGACAGGACTACAGTCAAGTCCTTGTCCTTAGGGGCTGGGGCCCGTGAGTGAGGGCGGGCCCGGGCCCCCCTCTTCCCACCATACCCAAGGAGAGTCATCTAGAGGCCGGGCAGTTAATCATCACTACCAGCCTTAAGGCAAGATCTGACTATCAGTAATTAAATCAAAGACTGGCAAAAAAGTCTTGGGGCACGCAGACTTAGGATGAGGTGGGGGGACCTTAGAAGCTGCATTAATAAGGGGTCAATAAACAGACTGGGGTCACACAAGTCTTCCCTTGATGGGGGAGCCCTGAAAAGGTGGAATCAGACCAGGGACCATTTTGCTGGACTGTTCTTTAAGGCAGAGCTGTCCTGTCCATAGGAGAGTTTGGGGCAGCTGCCCCAGGCCCCATGATTTTAGGGGGAGCTCTGTGGGGCCCAGGGCAGCCTGAGGTAAAGGGAGGGAGGGTTGGGTCCCATATCCCCCTATGGTCAGTGCTGGTTTAAGGACTACCTTAAATGAACAGGAGTCCCTCAGAGACTACACATCCCAAACAGACCCTCGTCATCTGAGACGGTGGAATGAAGCAATCGGACCAGACAATTAAAGCTGAGGAAACTGGTGAAGGCCAGTGGATGTAAATGGGACAGGTTCATGTCTCTGAGTCTCATGGCGGTGAGAGCCTCACCAGCTGCATCTACTGATAAAACACCCGGTGAGGTGACGCCAGGTGCGACTGCCAGGCTCTCAGCGGGAGCAGAGATGGAGACCGGCCTGCAGGATCTGCAAGAGCATTTAAATCAGGGCCCCTCACAGGTAGCTGACCCCGCGGGGAAATCCACGAGCAAGGCCAAGGCCGACTTGGACCAAATCCAGAGCGAGATTGCTCAGAAGGGCTGAAGACCAGGTCATGTTGGTGTCTTGCAAAGCACCAGACCATGGTTCTGTGCAACCCACAGATCGGCCCCTTCTGAGTCATCGTTACACTCACGTCCATGGCGCCCGCACTGAGAATAACTGGAGGCAAGTGTGACAGAGACAGAATCTACTCTACTCATCAGGGTGACGTTCTGTTCGTCATCCAGGTTGTAGGAGGGACTTCCTCCTCAGGCCTAACAGTACAATCCCTGTAGGAGCTATGATGGCTAGTGTCCAGCAGATGGCAATGTGAAATGGACTCTGGCATTTCGGATACACCACACCATTTCTTTTGTTCTAGGGTTTCGCCAAAACCAAAAAATTGGGACTAAACTATTTAACAAGAGGCAGACCCATGAAACCCACCGAGATGCTCCATTGCTGGACCTCCAGAAGCGGAATACACCAACAAAAGGGATAAACCAGACTATTATTCTCCACTCAGAACTTATCCACTGTCCTATTTCTTGTGGTAAGGGAATTAGAAGGCAAGATCTTATATTTGAACAGACTGGATGGAGCGATCTCTCTGCCAACCAGTGGCTGGGAAGAGATTTGACCACCGGATACTGATTCAAAAGGGGGAGAATGTAAAACCTAGACAACCTCACCAACAAATTCAACATCCCTTGTGCACAGATGAGGTCACGAGAATTGAAAGAGCAAAGCCATTTGTGTGACCTTGATGCCTGGGGGGAGTTTGCCCTTATGAAGACTTGAATACAAGGATGAAATGTGAGTTGTAGCTATCTTTGGATGTGTCTAGACTACAGGGTTTTGTCAACAAAAGTGGACTTTTGTCAACAAAACTATACCTGCGTCCACACTGCCTTTGAGTTATGTTGATATAACATCGACAAAACTCAGCAGTTTTGTCGACGTATGTAAACCTCATTCTCCGAGGAATAACGCCTTTTGTTGACAGAGTTCAGTCGATAGAAGGCATTATTGCATCTACACTGTCCTTTGCGTCCACACTGTTATGTCGACAAAGCGGCTTGCTTTGTCGACAGAACTGGATGTAGTCTAGACGCTCTTTATCTACAGAAGTTTTGTCGACAGTGTCTATCGACAAAACTTCTGTCAACAAAACCCTGTAGTCTAGATGTACCCTTTCTGAATAATTCAGGAACCAAAAAGTGCATGCTAAATGTGCCCTTTGAACTTAGGGTTTGTGATCCAATCATTGACTATGATGTAACTTGTCCAATGATGAAACCAAGTAG